TTCCTTGTTTCGTATGTACATAATTATATAGTAGAATACACATAAACTTCTAACATAATCACATAATCTAACATAATACATAATACAAATAAATTCTTAAAATAATACACATAAACTTTTAACATAATACATACACATAAATTTTTAAGACGCACAATGCATCATGTGCTCTGGTGCACGATATAATTTGCCGAGTCTGGCCGTCTGGGCTACGCTTGAATTGATCTTCATGGGCCGCCTATTATATCAGACCATGATCACATATATTTCTTCGCGGGCTTGAATTGGGCCTTGATTATAGATTAATGAATCCAAGCAACTGCCACCTAGACCAATCGTTATGCTGTGGAACACCTTGCAAGGTGGATACGGTTTTATGTTCATAATTATTGAACTATATATTCATAATTATAAAGCTATATATTCATAATTTTTGAATTTCATATTTGTAATTATTGAACTCTATATTTATAATTACATAATTCTATGTTCATAATTATAAAGTTATATATTCATAATTTTTGAACTTCATATTCACAATTATTGAATCTCTATATTAATAATTACAGAACTATATGTTCATAACTAAGTTCACAACTCTATGTTCCCATAATTGTAGAATTATATGATTTGAACTATATATTCATAATTATGAACAGTTCTGGAACTGTGTCAACCTTGCAAGGTGGACACGGTTCCACAGCATAATTTGCCCACTTCGACTTGTGCATCCACAGTTGTTATACCATGAACCAAGGCCCACTTTGCGAGGTGGACCCTGGTCCTAAATTGTGTATTTTTAATATTAGAATTGTGAACATCTATAGAATATAAATTATATTTTTAAATTTTGAGAATTTGTAAATACAATATAAGGTCATCACAATTTGTGAATTTTTAAAAGGTAAATTGTGTATCTTTAGACCCGGATCCACAAAATAATTTGACGCGCGTGCACCCACAAGAAAATTATGTTGCAGATAACTTCTACCTCTTTGATGTTTTTTTTTTTTTTTTTTACTTAATTTTATAGTTGCAGAAAACTAAACATCTTTTTAACTCCCAAAATGTTCAATCTCTAATCTCAAGAGCTACCTACACTCTAGGCCCATTAAAATATAGGAGAGGATATAAAACGAAGATAACTCATTGGCTCAGTATATAAGGTTAATATGCCGGAGTGTAAGGCGAGGAAAATTTACTTTTTGTTGGTAAGAAAACTAAACATCTTTGACTTTCTAATACATTCACATTTGAAATTCAATAAAATCCCGTTAAAAAAAGAAGAGGGTTTTAATAATGTTCTAATGGTCCAATCATTATTGGTGTGCAAAATGATTTTTAAAAAGTGATATAAAAGGTGGCAAGTTATAGATATATACTCTATTATTATTGTTACTACAATCATGAATTATAATTAAATCTCGAACACTAGTCCAAATAAAAAAGGTTTGAGAAGTTTAAGCATGAGGTTCAATTCAACAAGACTAAATTAATCTCAGTTTCATGAGAAGTAAATTACTAAATTAATACTAATGTAATATTTAAAGAAAAATCCTGAAATGGTCTCAATATATAAAAGTAAATACATGCAATCATACATAATAATCATTACAAACAGAAAATGAAATCTGTAGGATAAGGAAAAGATGGCCGACCCCACCCCCACCCCCACCCGGTGGGGGTGGGGGGCGGGCGAGTGTTCGGCAGAGAAGGGTAGTTTGGACATAGTACAGCACTGCCTCTGTCCTGACTATAGGACCATCTCATGAACCATTACAACAACCCAACCCATCAACATTGCTAGCAATGGAGATAGAGTTCCGGCTGAATCCGGAATCGGAACCGCGCCTCTAGGTAGTGTATTATCGGTAGCAGTGGGGATTCCTGGGGCGGCGGTGGTGGTGGTGGGAATGCCGGCTGCGCCGCTGGTGGTCGTTGGCGGACTAGTAGTGGTTCCTGGGCTGGTGGGTGTAGTGGCATCAGCTCCGCCGTCCACGGTGACCACCAGCTTCATGCCGCCGCTGCAGTGGCCCATCACACTACAAATGAAGTAGTGCTTGCCCGCCGTCTTCAGTGGAATAGTGGTGGCGCCGCTGCTGTCAGTGCTTATGGAATTCCCCACCGTGCATGACTGGTAGTCACTTGGACTCACTTCATCCACTGTGTGACCACCTGGATAGTTGAAAACTAAACCAAAAAAAAAAAAAAAAACAAATCATTTTTTTTTCCTGAAACCAGTCAGTTACTATTTAAAAGTGTACACTGATAAATTCATATTGTGATTTTAGCCAATAAAAGACACTACAAAAATAAACCAACTTAAGTTATCATAGCTAATTGATTTAAGAGTTCTACTACAACTCCCAAAATTCTACTCCCTCATTTATACTCCCTGAGGTGGCAAATCTGGATTGGTTATTTTCATCATGTGGATCCACAGAAAAATGTCTACATCGAAAAAATGTGAGAGGGAGTACAAGTTGGGAGTTTAAAATGGGAGTACACCAAGTATTTTCCTTGATTTAAACCAAAAGAATTAGCTACCAGAAGTATCACTCTAACTTTTACGGATCATAATAATTATAAAGTATAATTTCACTAATAAATTTAAATTTTTAGTTAAAATAAAACATACATTATAAAACTTACCAAGAGAATCACCAACTTTGAAAGTTTTGGCGCTAGACCAGGTACCGTAATCAACGCTGAGAGCCCACCCGGCAGTGTCTCCGACAGTGTACACCGTGCTCAAACATGGTACGGCAGACAACATCATACCAAGAATCAAGCATGCAATTCCAACATTAAACTCCATTTTACTCTTTTTTTTGGATGAGAGAGTGGGAGAGAGAGAGAAAGATGGTTTAATTTGTGGGGAATGTTGATAAGGAAGAGAAGAGGAAAGCTTACTTATATAATGATAATAATGAAAGCAGTGGAGTGGAGTGGGTTACTTAATTTCATATATGATTGCGTTAGGGCAGTTTATTCCATGGGGGTGGCTTTAAGAACACTCTCTACCTAATACCTTAAAAAGTTGGTCTTATTGGTCTTTGAATTGCTTTCTCCTGTGAATTGAAGAATTACTATTGAAAGGGTGGTGAAGTGGATGGGTTCTCATCGTCGCCTACAAAAATTGTTATTGTAGAATTTATCCTACAAATTGTATGTTACCATATTATTTTTTTAATGAGTCCAAGTGAAGTGTTTGTTTGATTTATGAGAAAGTCAACAACAACTATCAATATTTACACACTGAGTAAAGCTTGTGACCTTAGCTGATGAGATAAATCAGCCTATGTTATTCATATTTAAATGGTTCAAATCTAAAAAGTCATTAGGCATAAGTGACTATTATATTCCTAGAGATTAGGCTTTAGGTTTGAGAACAAGTGTCCCCACGGGCTATCATGAGAATTTTGAGTAGTTGATGAAAAGTGGTCCTTTCTTTACATTTTGGTTTCGTAACAATTATATTCTATTAAAAGTCCTCCCAAAAATAAAATACATTGTGTATTGGAGAACTTGAAAATGAGATGGATTAGGCCATTAGGGCATATGAATTATGATGTGAAGGGCCAATTTTAACTAGGTTGGACAGTTTGCGGATAACTATAAGATCTTAAATTAACTTTTTTTATAGGAGTTATTTATTAACCTTTTTTATTTGATCCCGATCAATTATAAGCAACCTAAACTAGTTTATCTCATCATTAAAGTCATGATAAAAAAATTCACAGGGATTGCAGTTGTAGGCAAATGATTTTGGAAGAAAGTAGGGAATCCATGTTCACCTAACGATGCACTCAAGTGGGTCCCCATCAAGAATTCTTCCATTTGGTGGGTTCGATTATCTGAAATGGTTGGGGCCGTTAAGGTCAGACCAACTGCCCCACTCTGCACCATACTGAAGAAGAGTTTACAAACAAAAATATAAACACAGATTCCACTACTTCAACCTTGACTTCATTACAAAGCAACACTGAATTTAAAAAAAAAAAAAAAAAAAAAAAAACATTCGGATTAAACTGGTCTATAGATTCTCTAAATTGTTTATATAATAAGGATAATTATTTTGAATTAGTTAAACAGTTAAATTATGCGCCGCCGCACCAGTTTATTTGCGTCAAAGTGTTAATTGAAGCATGTGCTCCATCTTAATTAAAAGTGTTCCATACCAAATTGAAGCATGTGCTCTAAAAGCCTAAGCTAATAGTTGGATTACACATTAATGGTTATATGCTCAATAGTGTCAAACATTCAAATCATATGGCATTGACCAATGTTTAGAATGGGCATCAAATCTCACCTAAAGGTTAGGTAGAGTTTCAAGATCAAGCATACTTTTGATGTGAATCTCACCTAAAATTAAAGAGAAATTTACATATGCTGCTGCTGCTGCTGGCAGTTGTCCACCCAGAGGAACAAGTCGAAAGAAGAATCATCAAACATCTATCACTTGGCTATTCAGACTACACAATCACGGTTCTTGGATTCCCTGCCTGCTACAAACATAATGCTTCATATTTACTCATTTATATATGCGTTCAAGGAAAACCGACATCCTAAAAGCGTTATTCTACTATCAAGTAACCACAGTAACCACATCTTAAAAATTTAAATCCATTAATCTTAACGTGTCGTATCTGTGTTTAGCTTTATCGTATCGATTCATTAACAAACCTGTATACACGAATTGTCAGGTATTCTCAACCAACAGCTTATGTTGAAATGATTGAAGTCCAAATTTCAATAGGAATAAACGCAAAGAGTAAGATGGGGAAAATGGAGGGACAAGCCGTTAATCGTTATAGATCTCAAATTTAAATGAGATAAGATGGGCCACTGGCCCAATATTTTCATGGGCCGACACTAGAAAATAGCATTGGGCTCAATACTCAGTTGCCCTGGTCAACGCCTCAACTCAATAATTGATATTCATTTCTGACATTATTCTGATTTTTTTTAATTATTAAATAGTTTTTTATAAAATTTTATGAGTGACTAAACAATATAAAAGAGTTTATTGTCCGAAAATATCACTAGAACTAGAAAATAAAATAACGTTATTTTTTCTACAAATATATTTATGACAGGAGCACAATAGTCAAACAAGTGAACATTTCATAGTCTACTCTGTCTACAAAACAAGAAACCATTTTTCATTAATCAAAATTAGGGTTTCTTCTCCTCAACCGGCGATGTCTTTGCAGCTGGCTGGTTAGATCCGTGGTGAAGGAACTCCTCCAATTTATCATCCAATTCCTCCACCTAGTTTAAATCACAAAATCGCCGCTTAATAAAAATATTATACTTATAAGTTATAATAATTTATTAATCTTGAAATTTGGTAAAAACTAGAAATATAATGGAAATAAACCACCTTGTCCATAAGGTCTTCAACTATCTGAGCATCTTTTGCAGTTTCCTCGGCAACATGTTCGATGGCCTCCACGATGTCTTTGAGTTTGCCGGCCGGAAGATTCTCCTTGAAACCCTCCGCCGCCTTGTCGACTTCGTGCGCCACGTTCCCTACCACATCCGCCACCTTCTCCACCGTCTCCGCCGCCGCCTCAACTTGCTCTGTACCGGATCGGACCAACTCCAAAATTAAACACCCATCACAAAACTCCAAAAAATTAAAAAACACAATATTTTTTCTAAACAACAATCGATCCTCACTTGACAATGTCAATAATCTTGCTGTAATCAAAGGTATTGCCACACACAATCCCGTAGCCCACGCCAACCTGCAACAACGTTTTAGCCGCTAATCACTAAACAACATAAATGTTCTTTTATCTTGGAGATCAGAGTTGAAAGCTACCAAGAACCATCATAATATCACTTTTTTTTTGGCTTACCAAGAATTATCTTCAGAAGATGGCAAAAACGGAAGAAACCCCGAAAGAAAATCCCCAGCAACTTCCGGAGTGGCATGAACAACCAAGGCCCTGATCCCACCAAAATACAATTAATAAATGAAGGAGATCAGACAGAAACTATAAACAGAGATTAAAGAGAGATCTCATGATCTATCTGTACAACATACCTTGATCTTTTCTTAGCAGAGGTTCTGAGGTTGCCTGGGAACGAGGATTGATGATATTGAGGCTTTTGTTGAGATATGATTGTTGGGTTAACAAAACCCAGTGTCTGAGATGTATTTGTGGAACTGGTATGGGAGATGGAGATGGAAGAAAGAAGAGATGATGCTGCCATGGCGATCGAACCAAGGTTTTCACTTTCTTCCCAAAACAAACACTTTTATTATAATCTACCCGTTGAAGAACAGTCCTTATGTATATTAAAAAACAAGTTGGTAGAGATAAGATGAATTAATAATACAAGTGTATATGTATATATAAATATAAATCTTGCTAGCTAGCATGCACTGCAAGTAGTCAGGTCTTGGTCAATGAAAAACTGAGTTGGAATATAATTATTATTATTATTATTATTATTTTTATTTTTTGTATACTTAATAGTAGGAAAAACTAACATACCAAGAACACGTGATGTTAATGGTTGGAATCTGATCTGGATCAGACCAGCCGTCCTCGTGCTACTTTTACGTTATTCACGCTGCTCTATTATTGCTCAAGACTGTTCCTATTTCAAGTTTACACGAAAAGTTCTTGGGTGATATAAATTTCTTTGTAATTTTATGAAAAAAGATATAAATATATTGACTTGAATTTTTATTTTCCCTCTTAATATATATAAAAGAATAATCTCAACTCTAACACATTTATATAATTATAAACCGAGATTTTTTTTAAAAAAATATTTATTCTGATAAAGAAAAAATATTCCAACTAGAACACACATTAAAATAGTGACTATAAACTTTTTCGTAAATTAAAGAAAAAATATATGAAATCCCAGAGCAAGGAATTTGGTTTTATGTGGACAAAAAAAAAGTATTTTTAATCTTACGTCTCTCCATTTTCCACAAGTGCATACAAATAAAATGTTTCGTTCAAAACATATATAGTAAACTACGAAATACTGTTGCATATGCATGTTTGTAAGGTGCTGAAAATCACGAATATCTTGTGGAAGAAGCTCTATTATTGACACAAAATACCAGTCAAACATGAATTTGGATTAATTTGATTTTAAAATAATTAATGAATTTTATATTATACGGTGAGTACAGAACTACAGATGTACAACTCATTATATATATATATATATATATATATATATATATATATATATATATATATATAACATATAATTGATAGAAGTTATGCACCCATAAAAAATGTAATTAATTACATGATTAAAATAAACGAACATGTGACCCTCATGTCATGTGTGTTCTGTTCATCCGGGATTGTCAAGCACTCAAGCATCATATCAAATTATCAATCTATTGTAATTCACTTATTTGACTATACGAGCTAGTATAGCTTTAGGATGGTGTGTATTATATTCAATTATGACATTTATAGATTTTTAAAGATTTTTATGAATTTTAAAAGTTTATGTGTTTAATTTAAACTTTTAAAGAGTCTTTAAAAATTATGCGGTATTCAATAGCGATTTTTAGAGAGTCTTGAAGAGTCATTGACTATACGAGCTAGTAGCTTTAATTTATATTTGATGATTTTCTAAGTTCGAAACCCATTACAAAATTGAATAGTTTATAAGTTAAGGGTAAACATGTGAGAACATGTTGAAACAGATTATAAAATTGAGACTTGTATTCATGATTTAATTTGTAGGTGCGTACATTTTTTGTCTTGTATGTATAACTTTTGATTAATATTAATATAAAATATTGACAGATAATTTCAAGATTACAATGGTCTATAATTTTAATTTAGAATAGGGTGTTATCCTTTATCCAAAGGATTCCGTCCTTTTAATAAACTATCAAGACAATTAGATTCCATATCGCACACCCCGCCAATATCGTAAATGTGATAGCCTCAACTCTTACAAAGTGATATTGACCGAACTCCATCTATCCATGTTGCGCACTAATTAAAAAGGATCGCACTTGCATAACACAGCCTCGCGTTGTGCATGAATTACTCCCGCCCTAAATGGGACTTATATTGTGCATACTCCACACCCCACCCTAGCTTCTTGGCTTCTTCAAATTTATCTATCTTCCGATTTTCATTAGCTTAATATCTCATCAACGTAATATTACATTAAAGCATATGACTAATTAAAGACCAAGCAATATAATAATGTTTCATATGCGCATTTTCCCTCCATGATTAATTCCAAGAATAAGACTAGACAGGTACATGTGCAGACATGCATGATGATATGATGGGTATAGTCCAGATCAACTTTACTTTCATTAAAACTGAAAATGATGAAAAGACAAAATGTACAATGAGTAATAAGCCCCACTGCCTGTTGGTGACTGATGAGCTGAGCGCATATTATTAATTACTCGTAATAAATATTATCACTTTAATTTCATTCCATCTGCCAAACCTTATTGTTAATTTAATTACGTGACAAGAAACTGGGAATCAAGATGCATGCGTAAAAAGTATCAGGGAATCGATCCAACAACCCTTACTGGACAATTTTTTTTAAAAAAAAAAAAACATAAGAATTAGCGAATTTAATGATTCTTTTTAGAAGATCAGAAAAGAATACTTGTTTGCCTGGGGTTAAATACAGATCAACAGGAACAATTACAAATTATGAATATAATAATACACCGATTTCATTGCATGTTAGTTTATGCTGCTGCTTCCACAGGCTTAGATGCTTCATCCCTGTCTAATACAGCAATTGGCTCCAGTCTTTCCACAACTTTATCCTCCATAGATTTAGTTGCTTCATCCTTCTTTAATTTCGCAATGGACTCCAACTTTTCCTCAACTTTATCTTCTATTTCTTGAGCCTGCATGCATATAAATTAATTAAGACCAATTCATATTTTATTTAATATTCAATTAACGTTTTTATTACTCCGTATTAATTTGCCTGTTTAATAAGTCAATTATGTATATGAGCGTACAATATATATTTTTTAGTAACAAGAGAAACCCGCAGTCATTACACGAGGGTGTATAATGAGTAAAAACTCACATGGTGATCTTAGCATATGAAGAAACACAAAGAGATAAATTAAAAGGCCAATTAGCTGGAGTTGCTCCGAATGTACAATATTTGACTTTAGGTTAATTTGAGCAACTTGACCATTATTTCTTGTAATATATGTGGAAACTGGAAAGTAAGATCCAAGGCATTAATGGTGGATTGTTTTTCAAGCAATTTGAGTATTTGACATTGATGCGATAAAAATAAATAAATAATTAATAATTTTGAAATTTCAAGAAGGGGAAAATTAGGGCAAACCTTATCAATCATATCTCCCAATTTTTCAGCACTCTTATCGATTTTTTCAGCCATATTTTCCACAAACTTGGCAGCATCTTTGAGTTTCCCTTCGGGAAGATCATCCACGATCTCCTCCACCGCTTTGTCTACCACCTCCGCCACCTTCTCTATGCCGTCTGCTATATCTTCCACCGTTTCAACTAGACTGTCCACCGTATCTATACATTCAAACAACAAAATAAAAAATTACATTGCTATATAAATAAATATAAATACACAATTAATTTTTTAAAAATATTTAGTCAAACGTTATTTCTTACTTTTTAGTTGCATCCAAGGCCCCAATTTACCACGAAATGAGGGTAGAAGGATGCTTAGAATAATCCCCACAATCCAACCTTTCCTGCCATCATCAATTTTCAATTAAACTTAAATTTACTCATAGTATTTCAGATATATATATATATATATATATATATATATATATATATATATATATATATATATATATATGCATGAACTTACAAAGAATTCGAAGGAGGGCCAGACGGCGATGGAACTCCAGGTTGACCACCGTTATTGCAGACAATATAATTCCTAAAAGACAAATGATCTATGAGAAAAAAACGATTGAAGCTCGAAAAGAATCGCAAAACAAAGGTATCTTGATCGATATTAGATTAGTCATCATATCATAGGAAAAACAACAACAACAATATTAATTACCTCTTAGATTTGGCGTTGCTGGTGCCAAGAACCGGCAAACTTAATTTCGAGATCGTGAAGGTAAGATTAGAATGTAAAGAGAGATTATGAGACCTAAGATAGTGCTTATTATTATTATAGTAAACAACGTTCCAAGAAGAAGAAGGCAAGAGAGTTGACATTGCCATTGAACCCTAAAGGAGAGAGTACGTTGTCGTTTAATGTAATCTGTGAGAACTCGAGAAAAAAAGTATGAATGTAGAATACTTGGTAGCTATCACTGGTGGGTCTTGGCGAAGATATATGGAGAGTAGTTGAAGAAAATATAAGGTTTATATAAGCTTAAACTAGCTAGCACTAGCAGAAGATAAGGTTTTTATAATGATTAATAATGAGGTTTTAATGTTAAATTACTCATATTTTACTGCAACTAATTGCGCACATGTAAACTGTTGTGTTCCAACGTTACTACGCCGTTGGTTCCTACGAAGGTTCTGCCATCACCAACTAAAGAAGAAAAACATTTTTAAGGTGAAGTATATATCATTCTGTGATTTTTTTATTTTATTTTTTTAATTTGGGTGTACCTAAAATGTGAAGTAATTATATTAGTCCGGCCAGTATATAATATATTTGTGGAGTATTATAAATGGCTGCATGCAAGGCATGGGCGGCTAAACTGCTAGTGGGTAAATATTAATCGTCACTATCACGCGGTTAGGTTTTGAAAATTGTATTGTATAGCAGTAACGACATATACCACTATCTATTTAGCCAACGTCAATGTACGTTGACTACAAATTTTTTTTTTTTTTTTTTGGTTAATGACAAAAATAATAATTCATATTCATAATATGTGGATACGTATTGAATAAATATTGCCTTATGACCATCACGGATAAATAATCACAAGAATGTAAATTAGCCAAATATTTATCCGTGAAACTTACTTCACGAATAAATATTGCCTTATGAATGTATTATTTTTCATAAGAGAAGTTACAAATTTTGTTGGAAAATTATATCTTGCACCGCGGTGCATAATCAATTATGCACGCGCATCAAAACGATGGCGTTTTGTTTAATGTAAAGAAACGGCATCCGTTTCGCATAGTTCCGTACTCTTCCGCAAAAAGTAACTCTGTTATTCAGTTTCATTTTGTATACACTGCAGTTTCAATTCAACACAGCTATAGTTTCATTTCAATATAATTACAGTTTCATTCGATATTTATAGACTCAAATATGTGAAAATATTATTTAATTTAATTTTATCTACACTATAGTTTTATTAAAACACAACTATATGATCATTTAAATATAATTATAGCTTCATTGTACAATATACACTCAAATATGTGAAATATTATTCAGTTTCATTTTATATACACTGCAGTTTCATTTCACCACAACTACAGTATCATTTTGATAATATAAAAATAATACGTGAGGCAGTGTCGGTTTAGATACACTGTAGTGTTAGTTGGTAATTAACATACAAAAAAATGCGCGCTCTATTAACACTAACGACACACTGTTTCTTTAGTTAAAGAAATGGAATCGTGGTGCACGTGCACCATGATCCACGATATAACAACTGAATTTTGTTGAATTGGGTTGCTTTCACCGCTGAACACTGAATTCCACATGGGCCTGGCCCATATTCCATACCCGAACTTGTAGCAACTAGCAGGTTGAACACTTGAACCACGTCCTATGTTTTCTAAACAAATAATGCCCATAAAACTACAAGAACTTCCCATGTTAGACAACATAGAGAGAGTTAGAGAGAGCGCTCCACTACGCTAATTATGCTGTGGAACCGTGTCTACCTTGTAAGGTGGACACGGTTCCAAAACGGTGGCATTTTGGTGGAAAACAACACCGTATCAATTTAAAAAATTTACTTTTTTTCGTCGTTAATGGTGTTCGTCTTCAGAAAGTCTATGTCCATAATTACTGAATTCTATGTTCATAATTTTTGAACTCCATATTCATAATTATTAAACTCTATATTCAAAACTACATAACTCTATGTTCATAATTATACAACTCTATGTTCATAATTTTTGAATTCTAGAAATCTATGTTCATAATTATTGAACTCTATGTTCATAATTTTTGAATTTCATATTCACAATTATTGAACTTTATATTCACAAGTACAAAACACTATGTTCATAATTATAGAACTTGTTCATAATTTTTGAACTCTATATTCATAATTCTTAAACTCTATATTCACAGTTATGTAACAGTATATTTACAATTTTTTATGTCGCTGAATTCTTTTAACAAATTTTTAAAAAAAATCTAATTGGTGGAGAAAAACGGTACCACTAACAGCACTGTTACTCCTGAATTACAAAACGGTGTCATATTAGACTCGTGTCTACCTAAGGTGAACACGGTCACACGGGTCCTTGGCATAACAACTCGCTCCACTAAGGAGGGTGGAACTGAAAAAAGTTTCAGTAGTAATTTTGGGTGGGTTAGTTTTGTTATGTTTATTGGATGTGATGATGAGGAGAGAAAATGAGTGCTTTACCATAACAAATAAATTACTACTATTAAAAATTTGGTAAAGTTTCAACGTGTCGCCAATATGTTATAGTAACATGAACTTGTGTCAAGTTATCTCACGGCCGTTTGGTTCACGGAATAGGCCGGAAATGACATAACATTCTCAGTAATAGGTTTATTTCTTTGTTTGGTAAGGATGTCTATTAAGCATGGCTTATTCCTTTGTTTGGTAAAGATGTCTATTACCATGCTTAATATTTCTAGTAATAACCTATTACCTCAAATAAGGTAATAGCTATTACCAGGCCCTCTGGTATTAACTTATTCCTGAGTCCTCAGGAATAGAATTTTTTTTTTCAATTTTAACCTTTATCATTTTCTCACCCCCATCTACGATTCCTTTCTTTTCATCATCAGCATTAATCAAACAATTTCTTCCGACCATTCTTTGCAATTCTTTCTATCATCTACCTACATCAACAACAAAATTAAAAACCAAAGTATCCTCAGTATAATGACGATTAGCATTGACGCCCGGGGAACTTGAACTTAGCACAATGCAAGGCCTCCCGGGCATTGTTGCCATTGGCATCCTTGCAGCGCACAGACAAAAGAACCTGCCCAATGGCAACACGAGCACAAACACCCTGAGGCTTGCCAAAAGCCCCTCTCATGTCAGTTTGAAGCCTATCAGCTCCACGACAACATCTCATATATATATATATATATATATATATATATATATATATATATATATATTGATCACTAACAATGATGGAATGATTAAACAAATTAATCCTCAAGCTTTTAGAGATAATTATGTGAAATGGCCTGAGAGAGATAGATAAATTAATCACTTGTAATTCCTTGTCTGCTTGAACTAATCACATCAGGACTCTTAATTATCTGACAAGTTGTTATAGAAAGACTCCTTGAATCAAGGATAATCTCTTATCTTGAACAAAACTCCCTGATACTTTCAAATTCAGTTGTTCTTTCACTTATCAATAATATTTGTGTATATATATGTTAATTTTTATACAATATTGTAGTTGCTATAGAATAACATTATTTTAAAACATATGTAATAATAATAATAATAATAATAATAATAATAATAATAATAATAATAATAATAATAATAATAATAATAATAATAATAATAATAATAATACATTTTTTGTATAGGGGTATTTATGTCTTTTAAACTCATATTCCATTTCTATTCTTTAACCAACCAAACGTTGGAATACAATTACTAAAGTCTATTCCATCAGCGAACCAAACAACAGAATACAATTTCTATTCTATTCCTTACATATTTCATTCCCTATGGCAATCGTTATGCGTTGGACCCGTGTCCAGCATGCTTGCTGGACACGGGTAACAGTGCCGTTAGACACTGTTATCTCTTTTTTTTTTTTTTTTTTTTAATTTCAGACGCTTCGTTATAGGAGTATATATTCATAATTTTATTACTATATTATTAATAATTGTACATTCATAACTCCATAACTGTACGTTCATAACTCTATAACTGTACATTCATAACTCCATAACTGTACATTCATAACTCCATAACTGTACATTCATAATTTTCGAAGCTCTATGTTCACAATTTTAGAGCTCTATGTTCATAATTTTATCACTATATGTTCATAATTGTAAGTTCATAATGTTAGAGCTCTTTGTTCATAATTCGATCAATAACTGTACATTCATAATTCCGTAACTGTAGATTCATAATCTCATAACTGTAGATTCATAACTCCATAACTGTACATTCATAACTCCATAATTGTACATTCATAATCTTCGAAGCTCTATATTCACAATTTTAAAGCTCCATGGTCATAATTTTATCACTATATATGTTCATAATTGTAAGTTCATAATGTTAGAGCTCTTTGTTCATAATTTCATAATTGCATAACTGTATATTCATAACGGCATAACTGTACATTCATAACGGCATAACTGTACATTCATAATCCAAAAAAAAAATAACGCCGTTAATGGCAAAACGCGCGCGAATTTTTTTTTTAATAACTAAATGACGCGTTTTTTTTTAAAAACGACATCGTTTTGGGCCCGTGTCCACAATTCACTGTGGACACGGGTCCAGGGCATAATTTGCCTCCCTATGAAATAACATTTTTATTCCTTCCAAATTGATTCCGTGAACCAAACGGCCCATTAGGGCTTTAGGAGAGAAATTACACTTTTATTATTAATATTATTATTATTATGTATTTTTATATAGAAGTTAATTAACATGCGGATTGACTTGTTTGAAATAATATTTTCTTGCCCCGGCCTCAGTCTGTATGCCCTTTATGATCCTTATGCGCTTTCAACCAATCCTATTTGTGTGAAGTAGTTAACATAATAAAATCTTGAAGACTTTAACTTTACTAGATGAAGCTTTTGCTTTGCGCCTTTGCTTTTCGAATTTGGATGCTTTGCGATATTTCAATCGAGTTGATCGAGTATTTTAAGTTTAACATTCTATAGAGTTATTTATTGACTTTTATGATTTGAATAGGTAAGTTATGAACCATTAATTTTTTTTTAAATGATTTTTTACTAATGATTGTTACAATACAGACTTTATCCAAAGTACATATTTAAATAACTGCTGTTAATTTTTTCCATAAATTAAAGAGTGATGCTAGACAAATTGAAAGTGTTTGTTAATACTTGTTAACCTGGATCTTCCTAATACTTTATCCCAATAAGATAGTGGATTCTGTCTTTTATAACACAAATGTTATTGACCAAACCATAAAACTAT